GTAGATTTTTAAATTCTGTAATCTACAACAAAGTCATAAATTTGGGTAAAAATAAATTATCTCATTAAAAATAAATTAAAAAGTTTAAAATTAAATCATCTAAAAATATGAAAAAATACATCAGTTTAGAATTGAGTGGTAGCGTAAAAATACTAAATAAGAAAGAAAGGTACAGTTGTCTCCTGCAAATTCCATCGATCAATGAATCAAAAGGATTGTGGATGACGAGGTGCTCTTCCTTCCTTTCTTTCAGAACTCTTTTCTCCAACTTATTTATGTACAATAAAATATACTTTTTTCCTTTTAATTTATGTGATATAATTAATTGGACAAAAAATTTCAGAAGAGAATTTTTAAAATTTGTGATCTGCATCATAATATTAGTATAAACGTATAATCTTAAATATGTCATAATCTTTATGTGGCTGTAAATTTTTTTAATTAAAGATAAACAGAAAATTCAAAGTTAAATTATCTTCAAATGTAAAAACACGCCCTTCTCAATTTAAAAAAGAGAAATATCTTAAACTTCTGGTTTAAATTTAACAAGTCAGAAATATTTGTATGGTCATAAACCTTTTCATTAGGAATAAAAATAAAGGTGTACAATTAAATAATTTTTAAATAAGAAAGTATGATATTCTCTTTGGGATAGATTAAAAAGAAAAATATGCCACATAAATTGGTTTGATAAATTCTTCTCTTTGAAACGAACTATGGAGGAAATAGAATCACAAATCTAAAACAGACCATTGCTCACTCAGTTTCAATTTGTTTGAACCTTTTCTGAGTACGAATGTCTAGTTGACTTTCGATGTGAATTCAAACATTGATTGTTTAAGTTTTTGAAATAAAATTTACATATTTAAAAACTACATAAAAAAATACTATAAGTCACAATAGTTAACAATTCAAAAAAATTTAAAACTACTTGCAAAACAATATAAATCAAAGAAAACCTTGTTTAACTCTCCAAATAATACAATAATCATTATTTAAACAAAGGGAGTAGTATTTACTCAATAAAAATTGGAATAAAATCTACCATAGCAATATGTCATAGGGGTCTATAATAGTTCTAAACTATATTTTTCTTTTAGTTTCAATGGTTTAATTGTCATAACTTCCATAACAACCTTAAAACCCACTTTGCGCTGGCAGAACATGTGACCTTGTCTCATTCAGTTTTAGAGTTCAATAGATGCAATTTGATCGTTGCTTTCTCCCTTACTTCTCTCCCATATTAATTGCCTATTCAATTGTGATTGATTTAATATACTCCCCTTCGTCTCATATTATCTGTCATGATTCTATTATACACGTTTCTTAAGAAAAATTAATTAAGATGGGATTTTAATTACTTTACCCTTATTCATGTCTTAATATTTAATCTTTCTTCATTGGTATTTGAACAAAGTTAAGTGTTTGTAATTCAAGAATAATTATTACTAAGGGTAAAAAGGGAAAAAAATAATCAATTTTGTCTTGAACTTCTAAAATTACAAATAATTTGAGACAACTATTTTTCGTAACCACGACCGATAATATGAGACGGAGGAAGTATTTGAATATTTAATTTTGTCAATAGACGTTGCGCCTCTTAGCTTCATTTTCAACTTCAATTAATACTTTCGGACAAGACATAACTCATCTGCTACATACATAGCTATGGATCCAAAATTTAAATTTAATGAGTTAGGGATGTTACTGAACTCATTAATTATTTGAATGACTAGCTAGGTTTATGATTTAATATTTGTATATATTATAAATTTTTAACATATGAACAAAGTCTAAATCAAAGTTACTTGTTTGGTTGAACGGTAGCTTTAATTATACATCTGTCCCCAAAATTTCGGTTTTGGTCATTGAGAATGAAAAGGCTCATAGTACAGAGAGCTACCCATATTAATAGAATATATATGACACGAATTTGAATTAGTTGAATCATTATGCACTAAATACCAGACGACTATTAAGCTCCCATTTGGTCATAGATTTTGGCTACTTTTTTAAAATAAAATTTATTGAAAACATTGTTTGTTCATGAAATATGATTAGTGTTTGAAAAAAAAAATTAGATTTTTCTTTTCAAATTCCCAAAAACTAGTTTAGGGCAGTATTTTGGTGAAATTTTTTCTTTCACTCGTAAAACTTTAATTTTTTTTCAAATAAAATGCATGTCCAAACATAACTTTAATTTCCAAAATTATTTTAAATACAACTTCAAAAACTCTTTCTTTTTTCAAAATAATCAAATTTATGTCCAAACACTAGCTTAAAAAGCACTTTTCATATTGCGTACACGGCCTCACGTAGAAACTGCAGCACAACATTATCTCTAACGACGATAAAATTTGGGTATAAATGGCAAATACTTTGGAGGAACTCATGACAGTATTCATACTTTCTTGACATCAAATTAGGTATTGACTTTCAATTAACTCATTTAGCGGATTCGTTCTTCAGGTATGCAGCCCCCCCCCCCCCC